GAGTTGTGGCCGCATTTCCATGTGAAGTCGACGTATTCAGCTATTCACTGCGCGGACGCACCGCGTTATCGCCGAGCAGTGGCATCGTCAACTGCCCATGACCGAAGCGAAGCCACTTCATTCCGTTCTGCCCGGAATGGCGCCATCTTTGCGCCAACGGAACATCCTCTCGTCTGTCGTCCGTCGTGTGTAGTTAGCACGGTGCAACGGTTATCAAGCTTCTGCACGTCATTGAGTCATGTTGACAAGTGACAGCGGCCGATCGCCAAATTACCTGCTAGTCTGAACGTTACAAGACGTCGTTGATTGAATTCAATATTTTCAGGACTTGGCCTTGTACGCATGGAGGAATATCTTCAGATCACGAGGCCGCGGAGTGGTTCGCAATCTTGCCCTGGCTCGTGGCTTCGTTACGATGCATGCCTCAGTCTTGTACCACCACCAACCCAAACGCACATTTGTCAACAGGGCACAATTACCACCGGAACTTGAGAACCCAGGCTACCTGCAATCTTCCGAGAGCTCGAATTCCGAAGCACGAACTACTACAGCCCTGCCTCGGGTGCCGTGCGGGATCGTTCAAGATGATGCGCCACAAGGAACGACCCCAAGCAGTAAGCATCGTGGCTCGAAAAGAGCATAAAACGCCGATTATGAATGATTTCAATTCTCATGAACTCAAAATCGCTACAGATCGCCGCTGCCATTATGCGATTAGTAGTAAATATTGCCTTGCCCCCTGGTGCCCATGGCATCTCCACAGCTTCGTGTCTTTCAGGTCAAGATCTGTCCGGTACTTCTCGGCCAACAACAGACATACTTGGGATTGTCGCAAACGGGAATCCAGTCGCCCAGGCAGTGTACCTATGCGGCGTCGATCGTCCCAAAGAGGAGACCCTGCTTTACCATCTGGGGATCATCAGCACCATATCACGACCACATATGTTAAGTGCCATATGAGACCACACCACCCGTGCACCGCAGATTCTGCATGCAAAGGCTAGGTTCGTACGAAACGATTCTGCAGCGACCCCTCGACCGCGTCATAGACAATGTTGTTCGACATAGCCACATTTCATATCTAGATCTATTATCACAGCGCGTTCCACAGCGCATCTGCCTCAGCGTATCGCAACACAACAAGACACCAACTCACCACCAACCCAGTCCCTGCACCTTACCACCACCTCACGAACACCCCCAGACCTTGCAACCATCTCTCACAGAACTCAGCCTTACGCCATGACGTAGCCTACACCCACACCCCGAACGACACATGACACCCTCAATTAACCCAACACACCCGGTCGCAGTGTAGCGTAGCTGCGTCGCAACTCCCCCGAACCCAACCGCACATCCTTCAGCCCTAAATTCCCCCAGCCAGCCCTACTGCCCCAAAGCCGGGATCGACGTGTACAACATAAGTGAAGGAACTGGGGTCATCCATGTGCGCCGAGACAGTGGTTTTGACAGGGCTGGCAGGGAGGTGCTGGCGGGAGCGGGACGCGCGGACGACAACTCATCGACGACGGCCACACTATCACTATAGTGAGGGAATTGACATGTCGCATATTCGTACATAGAGTTGGTGTAGATGTGAAGGCGTGCGCGACTGAGGAGACGGCGTGTTTGAGTTGACGAGAGAGATGGATGTTGGGCATCCACGTAGAACACGCCGTGACACGATTTCAAGATGACACAAAGCGATGAGCTTCACGATTCCAGTAATACATAATCATCCCATCCGTAAAAGCAGCCCTCAAATAAAATGTCGCAGTCATCAATGGGAGTCGAATTCGCGTAGCAGAAGTCCACCGTCTAACCCCCAACACCAAACCCAAAAGGTATCTACAACTTCCCAACTTTGATCTCACACCCGCCAGACACAGTATCGAAGCTCAAACTACTCTTGCCGTCCCCCTTCTTCGCCTCCACATGATTCTTCCCCGGCTCATCGTTCTCGCCCAACAACTCCAACTCCTTCCCTTGCAAATGCAATGCTCCACTCAATGACGTGCCATCTACATTCCCCGTCCATTCCTCAGGGTATGTGACATCTAACCCACCACTCGTGCTCTTATGCGTACTCACAAGCCCAGACATAGCTACGCCCTTCGCCTTATACGGCGAGCGCAGTGTGAGAGAAGTCTGACCCGAGTGTGTATGCGTATAGATCTCGCTCTGGTAATCCCCGGATTTAAACGGCAAGAGGTCAGCCGTAACAAGGCCAGCCACGCTGTTAATCTCAGTGCGCGAGCCGTGGATGAAAGTGCCGTCTACAGAACCGACAGTCGTGTTGATGTAGGTTTGGTAGTCGCGCTCGGGGATGTGTTTGCGTTTGAAATCCGTGCGAATGCTGCCGCTCAGCGAGTCCACGCTGAAGACAGCGGGGTTTGTGGAGCCTTTCGCGGCGGGCTGGGGCTCGATGTCGATGTTCACGGAGCCGCTCTTTGTTTTGACGGAGAGCAGGTCGGAGAGGGCATACGCCCCGGAGATGGAACCAGAGATGGTGGAGAGGTATGTTTGGCGCGAGGAGAAGGCGATGGCGTCGAGGGTGCCTGTGGTTAGAGAGATGGAAGTAGAGTCTGTGACGGTGAAGTTTGTGCCAGAGTGGATTTGCATGCCCATGTGGGTTGTTGCAATGTGTAGTTTCGACAGGGTGGCGCCGGGGGCCATGTAGATTACTACGGACATGCCCAGGCAGGCCTTTCCGGGGCGCACGCCGTCGAAGCCGTCGGGGAAGGAGGGGTCGCCGATTGTGAGGCTGTTGTCTGTGGAGGCGTAGCGGACGGCGTTTACGTCGACGGAGGCGGATACGGCGTAGGATGTCTTTACTTGGATCGTGCCGGGGGCTTGCTCCGGAGGGGCGGTTGCGACGTGTATCCAGCCTGCTACTCGTCTGTATGGTCCGTCGAGTTGGTGGACGGCTTCTTGGATGCTGAGCTCGTCTGTTTGGCCGAAGTCGTGGTGTTCGGTTCGGACGTTGTAGTCTTTTCCGCACTTGGATGGCCAGCGGATGGGGAAGGATTGTTTCGGGGCTGTGGGTTGCGCTGCGGCGGATGGTGAGGGCCATGGGACGGCGATGAGACTGGGCTTGTCGGAATCGTCGTCGATGAAGCCTTCGGGGTGGGCGGCGTCACCCTGTGCGGACTGTGCTGAAGACAGGGAGGTAGTAGCAGAGTTCTTGACGGGTACGTTAGTATGATGAAGTACTTCCTTGGAAGTATCTACTGACCTGTCTATCCCTTCGGACTGACACCGCAGCAACCATAAGGGCCAACATAGCAGACACGAGCATCATAGCAAGCACTGTGCCGACCACCTTCAACCAGGTCTTCTTGAGGCATTGCGACCTGAGACTCCGTCTCCCATACTGTTCTTCCTTGTATGTCACATCTCGGGCTTCTCGTCCATCAAAGGAGAGCAGCCTGGCGCCTTCTTCGCCACTCAGTCGACTCGTGTAAAGACCAGGTGTAGTAGCTTCGAGGTAAGTAGGCGGCGGCCTCTCATCCGTCCCAGCCTCTTGTCCTACAAAAGCCTCCATAAGCGGTGTCGAGCGATCATTATACGGCGATGGCTCGATGGTGATCTGAGGCCTCGAGGACCGACTGTTCGCTGACGCAGTATCGATATACATGATTTCTGGTTGAGATAGAGGCTTTCGGTGAATACAGTAAAAGAATGGGTATTTAATAAAGATTGTAACGTGCGCACGCGCAAAGAATGGACCGAACCAGGGTATCAAGAATGTACAAGCAACAAGGAGAGTAAGAGGGTGTGGAGGTCAAGAAAGAGGCCAGGCAGACATCGATCTAAGTAATCATCCCAAGCTCAGGCATTCAAAGCTTGATCTGCAACTCCAAGGGCTGGGCCGACATATTGTGCTGCTACACATTTGTTTCGGTGCTGGAAACGCTGCATGTTTGATGTTGGCTTGGCGAGGGTGTGTGCAAGCGAACTGCCGTTGTTTGCGCTTTTCTTCCTCAGAGAAGATTCGTTCTGAGATGCGACTGTTGATCACTTGTTAATGGCATCTAAGCACATAATTCGTTGGAACAGAAGAAGAATGGGTTGTCAGAGGTTGTGGCTCATAAGCTTAATGATGGAAGGTCGTGGCTGGTGTCATTCAAGGCGTTGTCGGACGATGGGGGCGCTAGGCTAGGGGCTCGCAACGCTGTCGATCAGGCACTTGGCACCTCGGTACAGGCACACGGCAGCACGCAGATATGCCTAGATTTGACTGTAGCCAGCGTGGCGAACGTTCTCAAAGCCAAGAACTGTAAGACATCCAGGAGCTTGAAGAATACTGCGAGCAGACAACTATCCGCCATGAAGTCTTGCTGGTGGAGTTGAAACTACTCAGACATTAACGTACCTAGGTATATGCAGTAATAATATATAGACACCTTTCATCTTGAGTGGCCTAATCCATCCGTTTTAATCATGGTTAATTCCAGATCTTGCACGATAGTCAGATCCACGCTGGTGGGCAGTAGGTTTTCTATCTTGCAGGTCCCTCGCGGTAATGCTAACGTCTTCTCAGCTTCGGTGTTGGTGGCACCTATGGCCAGATGGGCGATCAGTTCGCATCGCCTGCCGACCCCATCTTCTGGCTGCATCATGCCAATCTGGACCGCGTGTGGTGGTCGTGGCAGGCGAGGGATCTGGGGAACAGATTGCGTGACATTTCTGGGCCGATGATGCTGCAAGATCGGAACAACGCGCAGGGCGGCAATGTAACGCTGGACTTTCCGCTTTCGCTGGGTTATAATGGCTGGGACGCGACGATTGGCGATGTGATGGACATTGATAGTCTCTGCTACTCGTATGATGAGCTCTATTGAGCGGTGTTGATCAAGCACAACTTAGATCAACATCATGTGGTGTGGTGTCGTGATGGTGAAGGCTGCCTGAGAGCGGACCCCCGAGAGCGGGGCTTGGCGGTTGACGTAGCGAATTGTCGCATTGCGGGCGTGGCCTTTCCAAGTTCCACGCCAACTATGAGAGTCGAATCCCGATAGCAGCCCGCAAACCCTCGACATGGCAGCCCTCCAGAAGTTGTCGCAACTGTCGCAGCCACACTGCGTCCTGCTCGCCGTACAATATGCCACCGAATCCAACATCCTAGCGCTGCGGGCGCTGACAGCACTCCGGGACGGGGATCTGCCGCTTGAGCTGACCCTGAGCATTCTCCTCAATTACCTCCCCGAAGAGAGCGACCCGGCGTCGTACTACGAATATCTCCATGATCTGGCGACTGGATCGCGGTATCCCGGCGAGAACCCTGGGGCATCGCTAGACATAACATCGGTGGAACAACTCTCGAATTCACGGGCGAAGAAGAGGAGACATGCGCTGGATCTGCCGCCTGTAGTCCATCCTCTTTATGCCGAAGAGAGTGAGCTGGACCTCTTCAGCCACTTCCTAATACACCGCGCCCATCGCATCGACACGCAGACAGGCCTCCTAGATCTCGTGCCGCAGCTGGTGGTTCCGTTCCTGGGCCACTCCGAATACCTGCGCACATGGTTCATATCAACAGTCTTTCCACTATTACGTCTCACCTACGAGTACTACCCGAAATCTACTGCAACCACGCTCGACGAATTTGCGGCACTCAAAGGGCGCCGTGCCATCGATTACCAACTCTCCCACGCTCGAAGCGCGACCGATGCCAATACACACAACGCGGCACGAGATCTGAAGGGCGTAGTCGCCCCATGGCTATGTGGAGCGAACGATCGCAAGAGGCGGAAAATCGCACACGAAGGTCGGAGAGCGTCAATCGTCCAGGATCAAGCACGCGAACCGGACGACTGGGACTGCTTATTTCAATGGCTGCTACATGCATCCAAGGAGCATCTGGCGCTTGTTACGGCAGCCATCTCCGACTGGGATGGCCCTGAGGATATGGACCTTGGTGGCTACGAAGAAGGACGAGACTACGTCGATGACCAACAACAGCGGCAGCTGGAGATGAAGTACGCAAGGACGGCGCTCGGATGTCTCTACCTGGTCGACAAGAGTGACATCACATCGTTACAAACTGCGCATTCGCTCTTGACGAGGATATGCACGCTTCTCAATTATGACCCGCCTCCAGACCTTAGCATTGGTGTCGCCCACTTACCCAGCTACGACCTGAAGGATCCTCTGCTCCAGGACTCGACTACTGCTCTACTGAGAGAGGATCGTCTACTGGATCATGACAATGTCATCACACAGCCTGGCGCTGAAGCGTTTCGCATAATTGAGCTCATCATTTTCTCGTCGTGTGTCCTATCGACCTTGCAACAACCGGTATCTATCCGGGAGATTGCGAAGATGTCTCTTCGGGACGACTACTCCGAACAACTATCGTTATTGCAAAAGATATTGCACACGCTGAATAGCGGTTCCAAGAAGGATAGCGAGCAATGGGCCACTATTCGGTCAAAGTTGCTGTGGCTTTGGAACTGGGGTACCGACTACCACGACGAAGACCGAAGAGCCCAAGGTATCTTTGGATTGCTAGAGCGGAAGACGTTGGAGACGGAGGTGTTGAAAGCTCTCTTGGAAAGCAACCACTTCCCCCTCGCGATAGACCTCTACATCAAACCAGGGTTTGGCGAGCAGCCGCTGCTGTCCTCGGATGTGGAGCAGGTCGTGCTCGCCTCAGCCATGCACCACTATGACAACGCCAGCAACGGTAACCGCAATAGAGGTGGCATGAAGCGTGCGGCTGATATCATCAATGCATTTACTCCCCACTTCCCTTCCTCGTCGCGGTTCCGTCGGTTCCAAGCCCTGCTCACAGCAACTCACGCCATGTCATTTTACTCGCTCATACTCCAGCATGGCGTACCTTTCCAACCAGTCAATATCCGAGTGAGCCACAATCCGCTGTCGTTAGTGCGCAAGCTACTATCGCAAAACAGCGGTAGCTACACCAAGCTCGACGATCTGGTCTCGATTGGTCAGAACTTGGTAGTCGCCATGCCGTCAACCATCATGGATGAAGAAGCAGGAAACGTGCCAACGGATGCCGCCACAATCGAGCGGAAGAAAGCCGCAGCGGAACAACGAGTGATTGGCATGGCTGTCGAGGCTGCACTGGAAGAAGACGACTTCGAGACAGCGTACTCATACGTCGTCAATCGACTAACCCCCTCAAGCCCATCGCCAACGCCACCAACCTCCTCAAACTTCTTCTCCTTCGGACCCCCAGAAACCGAAGACCACCACAACGACGACGCCGAAGACGTAGCCTGGCGCGCCGCCCTCCGCGCCGGCCGACACAACACCTCCCTCTCCCCATCGCACTCCTGGACCCAATCCAGCTCCACCGCACGCCCCGACCTCCGTCGCCTAGAACAACGCATGGAACTCCTCAGCCAAGCCCTTCTCCTCGCCCCACATAACCACCTCGAAGAAGTCCTCGGCGTATGGCAACAATGCGAAGCCGAAATGATGCACCTCCTCGCCCAAGAAACCGAAGCCGAAGAACGCTTCAACGATGCCGCTGATCGTAAGCTGCCCGGCGCTTTCGACATGGACTCCATCACCGTGCAGCCGCAGCGCCGCGAAGTGGGGCGGGGTGCGGTGGAGGAATCGCCAATGGGGTTGTTTGATGTGGCGAGGGGGGCTGCGGCGGCGTTTTCGAAGACGGCGTTTCCGCTTAGGAGTAGTAGTGGGAGTATGCAGGTTGCGGCGCCGGGTACGGAACCAAGGTCGGGTAGGGTTAGTATGGATGGCAGTGAGAACGGTAGTGTAGATGCGCAGGAACGTGTGAGGAGGAGGGATATGGTTGCTAATGCTGCGACGGGGGCGCTTGCTAGTGGGATTGGGTGGATGTTGGGTGCGAAGCCTGTTAATGAGTGATTGAGGGGGCCTGTTGTTCAATGCACGATGTTCACGAATGTTCACGAATGTGATCGAGATAGAACAGTGGACTTGAAGTATGTGCTGATGCGGTCGTGCTCTCTGGTGAAGACGGGTACGACGTTACTTCCGTCAAGCTTGCTGTCATAGTTTACAAGCCGAATACACTCAGCCAGCGCTTCGTCTCTGCGCGTTTCTCCGTACCTCCACGCTTCACACCCATCCCACCCCCCGTCATGATCATGTCATCCATCACACCCTCCCCCATCCTCTCCGCATCAATACTCCATCCACATGACCACAACGGATTCCCCGGATCAGCAGGTGCCTGTGCCACACACCAGTCAATTCTCCTTCTTGTCCCCTTTACAGAACGGATGCAACGTTACATACCCCTTCGATACAACATGCCCATCCCCTCGGATAAAGCTCCACAGTACAGTCTGTGAGATTTGTAACAGGGATGGGGGTAGCGCATGGTGGCCCGTCGTGCGAGAGCAGTTCGGTGCAGCAGTTGTCGGTCCAGGTGGGGTCTATGTTCATTTGGCAGAGGCTTAGTGGTGGGGAGGGTTGGGCGTTGAGTGTGGTGAAGAGGGGGAGGATGAGGAGGATGGCGAAGGTGAGGGGGTTGGGAGTGGACATCTTTGGGTGGATTGGTGGGGATGCAGGGGAGGGGGTGGATGGATGGTAGACGGAGGAGAAGATGGGGGTAAAAGTGGATATTTATATTCGAAGTAAACAGCCTCTCGTTCCCGCTTCCAACATCCCCGGGTACAGCATTCCAATCCAACGTTACCCATCCTCCCCGCTGACTTCCTTCTACCGTTCACATGTACTCCAAACGAGTGACAGAGCCATACAACGTGTCATCCATCCGTCATCCCTTGTCCGTCATACTCCACCTCGTCAGAAGTGTGCAGTGTAGTATAGCCTACATTCAAGCGTTCTTCATCGCAGCAACAGCCTTAGCCATAGTCTCACCCATAGCGTTGGAACTGAAGTAATCCCAGTACACCTGCTCCAAATCCTCAAGCGTCATGTATTCGGATACGATGCCGCTGGGTCCGTGGCCGAAAAGAGGGCCGGAGGCGGGGTAGGCGGGCTCCTGGTATTATCGTTAACATCGACTCCATCATCCCTTTTTACCCCGGCACTCATCCCTCCTCTCCCTTCCTATTCCGTCTCCCTTCCTATTCCGTCTCCCTTCCTATTCCGTCTCCCTTCCTATTCCGTCTCCCTTCCCTCTTGCCCACCAAGATCCACCGTGATTAGCAGGAAAGATCATACCTTCTCAACACAAACAGCCCACCCCGTCGGATAATGATACGTAGAGCATTCAGTCAAGTTGCTCACATACTCGATGTCGGTGCAAGGCGCATTGACCCCGCGGCTGATGACCGTGTGGCAGCAGGCGTCGGTGTAGTCGGTGCCGTAGAGGAAGCCGCAGATTGTGTCGTCGGGGCCCATCTGGGCGGTGGTCAGGAGGGGGAGAGACGCGGACGCTGCGAGAGCGATGGTGGGGGCGGTGAAACGCATGTTGGGAAGATGGGGAGTTGGTGGGGGGTGAGTGTGGGATTGTGAGAAGGTGGGATTGTGGGAAGATGGGATGTGGCGGTTCTTCGAGGGTTCTTATGTGGTGACGGAGATTTGCTGGGCTAGTGGTAGAATTGAAGATGCGCTCGTTGAGAAAATGTTGGTACGATAGATGCGCCATCCCGTCTTCCTTCCTTCCGTATGGCAAAGCTGGATATCCGCGGGTGTTCCTTGGACGGGCGATGGAAGTTTGCAGAGCCGCATGGCTTTGGCAACTCCGTTGAGCGATGAAAGGCGAATGATCTTTTGGTGCAACTCAAGCTCAACTGACCGGACGGGTAAAGCTTAGGAAACGGCATCATAGTCCCCAGTGTCGATGATGTCGGGGTCTTGCATATGCCGTTGACTCAGATGATATGTCTAGGTTTCCTAATCTGTCGAAATCTTCGCGGATGAAGTCTGTTGTTTCTGGTTGAGCCTTTACCTCTATCGGTAAGTCTTTGTTTTCTTTCCTTGTTGCTTACCGGGGTATCGATTATGTGTGAACATGTCCAAGATAGTCGAGCAGCAAACATTCCTATGTATAACAGCCGCACTTGAGGCTTGGGGAATAGAGAATGAGGTAAAATGTAGGGCATGCTAGTAGTAAATGTGTTGAACGAGGAGGGAAAGACTGTAGGTGAAGTCGAAATTTCCTTTGCTCCATCAAGAAACATCATCAAGCCAGCTCTGAACATTCACCCCTTCATCTACCTCAAGACCCCTCATCCACAGCCACGCCTCGAGATCATGCCACCAAGGTCCAAACGGAACTTCATCAAGGTTTGTGAGCCCCTGCATCGACACACCGCTAAATTTATAAACCGTAGGATCATGGCGCAGCCGCCGGTGTTCTCTCACATGTCGACTTTCCTTACCCATGAAAGTCGTGCGAACAGGCACGAGTCTATCCGCAAACACTCTAGCCCTCGCGAAATCACCCCTCGCTTTGGCAATCTGGAAAGCGAGGTAGTATGCATGAGCCAGGCCGACTGGATTCGGGCTATGGTCGTGTCGCTTCCACAGTTGGACCATTTCCTCGATGAGGGAGAGCAGTGTCTCAGGTGTTTCGTTGATGCCGCGCGGCCCGAGACCAGCTTCGTCTGAGATGATGTTGTCTATCTCGTTAATGCGATTCAGAATCAAGTCGCTCTCGATGGACTGCTGAGATAGTAACGAGCAGAGTTGACATTGACAGGTGAAATGAAACCGCCTCTGGAGCTCCTCTTGTCGCTCGTTCCGATCGAAGGCGCCCCCCAGGTAAGATATCGTGATTTCTTCGCCCCTTGAGATATCCCGTATAGCATGTACTGTTAGCCGGTTGCAATCATCGTGCCAGAAGTGAGCAGCATTGTTATCGCACGCATGGTTGATGCGGCATGCTGCGGAGAAGATACTGCTGAGATCTAACTTTGAGCCGACGGGTAGAGCGTTTGTGTATAGTATACCTACCCATTGTGCCAGATAGTCGTTGAAAGGGTGGATATTGCTCATGGACAGAAACTCGCCTCTTTGTTGTTGGTTCAAAAATGTGACTCGGTCTGCTAGTTCTGTCTCAACGGGTTCTCCTACCGCGAAGATGGGTTTCTCAGAGATGATCCTTGTACCTTTGGGGATATCTCTAGTCGCGATAAGGCCCTTACCTTTTCCAGGCACATCTTCAATAGTGTACGTGAGTGGGGTGGCTGAAGCATGCATGTTACCCATGAGTGCTTGCCGTGCGGGATGCATCTTGTTCTGGCTGAAAGTCAAAATCCGGTATGATTGACGCCTTGTAATTTGCTGTCCGGTTCGTAGAACTTTGTAAGGATTGGATGTCTATATAAGTAAGTAGCGCAGGTCACGCTCAGGGTGTCATGCTGAGATCTGCAAGTCAGAGGGGACAGACAGGTGTTTGCTGGTAACACATGAGACTCCGTCTTGGGTAGAAGTGAAATTGTGCTACCCGCAATTTCGTAAGCAAGAGCTTGCATTCTGTGGACTAACGGCCGTTGAGAGCGCAGTCAGCGTAATTGTGTGGGTGCCCGGTCCGGTGGATGGCTGAAGTATCGCCCGGAGTGCGTTAATATGAATTTGCCGCTATCCGCTGTGCAGTCTCCATACGCGCTGAGGTAAATAACCATGGCTCAAGAAAGCAACACTTCGGATGTCTGCTGAGACACGTGAAGACGTGCAAATCATGGACGTTGTTGAGATGGGAGTTCCTCGGCTGACGTTCAAATACCGTAAGCCAACAGTCCGCAATCGGACCAGAGGAGCTTTGCCGACGATCTTCAGCTGATCATTTCGAGATTGCGACAGCTATCGTCAGGGCAAGACTGATTAAGGCGATGAGGTATGAAGTGACGGCCGCGGCTTTGGTTCGTAACAGTTGAAGCTTGCATGTGGGTTAAGAGCGTTGTAGGGAACGATCGCCTTCCCTGCCAGCGGCTTGGCGGCGGCGCTAGTGGCATTAACGTGTCTCGCGCGCGTCCGGCTTGCTTGATCAACACTCCCCGCGTCTCCTCATAGCATGCATCATCAGCTAGCCGCCCAAATCTGGTCTGGGTCAACAGCGAGCTCACCGGAACCATGACGAGCGACAGTCGAGACATGCGCCCACGTGTGCCGCACCCCGCATTACTTCTACCCCTCCTGGCACCATAGCTCCATAGCTAGCTCTGGGCGATACCGGGGTTATGCGTTGCTATATGTGTAGAGCGCGCCGTCGGCATGCTTGCGCATCATTTCTGCCCTCCTCTGCCTTTCTTGATTCAATTCCTTTCCTCTGTTGAGTTCTCGCATTCGTCGCGTTGTAACGAGTCATTGCACGCCCAAAACCATCATGTCTGACTGGTCTGATCTTACCGCGGCTCTCAAAGGAAGCTTAGACAAGCTTTCCAAGCTTCTCCAATCCGATGCACAACTCAAAGCCTTTACGACTTCGAATGCCATTGACAAGGATGTGACTTTCGGCATCAAGTCAAGCGGTTCTGACAACACCCTCCTCGTCACAGTCACCAACGGCAGCGCAAAAGCCAGCACAGGCTCTTCGAAAGATGCCCTGTTCACGCTCTCTGCTCTGCCCGAGCAATGGGAACAGCACTTCAAGGCAGTTCCGGCGATGCCGTACCAGAGTTATTGGGGAATGTTTGGCATGAACATCAAGCAGAAAGGCATTGAAGTCCTGGGCGATCAGACGGCCTTTGCACAATGGACACATGTCTGGAGGCGCGTCCTCGAACTCACACACGACGCGCACTGTGGACCGATGAAGGAGGACGAGCAAGCCGAACCCGAGCGCGATTTCCTTACTGGCAAGTACCTGTACCTCGATGCTCCAGTATGGGGTAGGTGCAAAACCTTCTACGAGTACTCTGGTGAGGGAAAGCAACCCATCGTCTTTCTGCATACCGCTGGCAGCGATAGCCGGCAATACCACGGTGTCATGAACGACGCGAAGATGCGCAAGAAGTGCATCATGTACGCATTTGACTTGCCAGGACATGGACGCAGCTTCCCTTCGAAGAACTACTCCCCGGGCGCGCATACAAACACCGAAGATAGCTATGTAGGCATCATCACGGCTTTCGTGAAGGCCCTGGGTCTGCGAAGACCAATCATTTGCGGTGCAAGCATGGCTGGCCAAGTTTGTTTGGCGGTCGCGATCCGCCATAGGGAGGTTGGCGCTGCAGGTGTCATTCCGTTGCAAGGGTACGTGTAACGATGAGGCAAAGGTAGCGATGCTGATGATTGTAGTTCTGAGTACCTTAACATGGAGCGACAATGGCATGATCGCTCTCCAGTCGTGAACCAATCGCTATTCAACCCGGAATGGATCTATGGCGTATGTCGAATAGAGTCTTTAACAAGAGGACGATGCTGACATGCAGTAGATGATGTCTCCTACCACGCCCCACGTGAACAAGCAGCTCATATGGCACACCTACAGCGCACAAGCCTACGGCGTAAGCACACCCCCCAAAACCAAACCCTCACACCAACCCCTTCTAACCCCTCCCCAGATCTTCCACGGCGACCTCGACTTCTACTTCGGAGGTTGGGACGGACGTTCACGCGTAGCCTCGATCGATACCCAGAACTGTCCCGTATACATGTTGACCGGCGAGTACGATTGGTCCAACACCCCAGAGATGGGACAGGCGACGGCGGACAAGATACCCGGAGCGATGCACAAGGCGATGCCGGATCTGGGTCATTTCCCGGCGACGGAAAATCCGGCGAAGTTTGTGCCGCATCTTATTGAGGCGGTTGATCATATATTGAAGATTAGGTCGGATAATTTGAGTACTATGCGGTTGGGTGATGGTACGGATTAGATGGATGTTGTTGTGAGGATGTATGGATGGCAGCGATAATGCATTGTTTTTACGCGAATGTATCGGTTTCTCATGATGGTTTCATTGACCTCTTATCGTTTGACTTGGAATGTGCGAAAGACAGGAGGATAGTATGCTCATGCGTTGATCAAATGAATAGAGAGACGCAGTCGACACCCGTATCGCACATGCACACCTGCTTTCCCATTCAAAAAAGGGTATCGTACTCAAATTATCCGTTCCAAACCCATGCAAAACAGAAACTCCTCGCACCAAAAAAGCCATCTATACTCCAACGCCTATATTACAGCCCGCAAACCCAACCCAAACTGCCATTCCATTCCCCATCTCGCCCATCTCCATCTACCTAATCTTATCAACCCTCTTCTTCGCAATCCTAATCTTGCCATCCACCCTCTCCACATCCTCCTCAAACAACCCCAACATGGCATTCTGCTCCACAATCTCCGTATTAATCTGCACACCCATCTCCTTCATCCTGCGCACCACCGTCGTCAAGTCCACAAGATCCTCGTCTTGCTCTTGGATGATTTGTTGTTGCAGCTGTAGGACGCCGTCATTGTCCAGCTCGCGGGTTTTGTCTGTTTCGGCGGCGGGCGGGCCGCCGAGGACGCGGCGGCTGCTGGAGGATTTGGTGGGGTGGGAGGAGGTGTTCTTGGAGGATGAACTGAAGAGTCCGGCTTTTTGGCTTTCGGTGACGGCGGCGCTGGAGGAGGTCGAGGGTGTTGACGACGTGCCCGAGCCGGAGATGGCGGCTTTGACGGCCATGCTGTTGAGGACGGAGTCGAGGCCGTCGCGTTCTTTGCGGAGACCGCTTATCATGTCTTTTCTTCGTCGGATCTCGCCGTCGCCTAATTTCTCGCCGGACCAGTCGTCGGAAGTTTTGTTGTTGGAGCCGCCGAGACGGCTTAGCCCTTCCTCAAGCGCAGAGATGAGAGTACCGGCTCTGACGAGGCTTTTCTTCGCGTTGGCCGCGGCTTCATGCTGCGCCGTTGCAGCGGTAGCTTGTTCGCGTTTCGTCAACCACCTCCTTGCATCTTGCAGGTTGGATTTAAGCTCCGAGTGCTTGTCCAACCAATCTGAACTATCCCTCACTCTATCCTTTCCGAATTGGCTGCCTGGGAAACCAGCCGCTTTCTTCCCGTTCGCGCCATCCTTCTCTCCTAGTTCTAGGAATTTCTTGTAGGCTTTGGAGACGCGCCAGCGCCCGTCTTCGGCGCTTTCTATCGCGCGGAGATAGGTTTCTAGCCCGACTCGTCGCTTCTCGATGGCTTCGGGTGTGGTTGTGGTGGTGCCTAGGCCTAGGAAGCCGCCGAGCCAGGATTTTGGGGGGAGGGGAGCTGGTGGTGCGGCGCCGACTTCTGAGCGGAGCGACGAGTCGAGGGCGGAGAAGTCGGAGTAGCGCTTTTGTAGGGTGGTTGCGGCGCGTGGGAAGGGGTGTTCGATTTTGATGGTGTACGATGTGTAGGCTTTGCCGTTTTCGGGTGTTTGCTCTTGTGTTGATGGTATTGAGATTCTGAGAGGCGCCATGCTTGCGATGTTGCTCAGTGTTCCGCAAAGTAAAGCTGGTGTTGGTGTTGCTGCGACAGGCGGCCGTCTGGTGTTAGGCCGATGCCTGGCGCGGTCGCGTGCACTGTATTCGCGGCAATAGCGTCGTTCTGCTTGCCCAAGCTGAGTGTATGCGCGTGATGTCCTTTGGGTTTATTGATTTATTGAATACCGGGGCGAGAGACGCGTTGAATGCCAAAAGCAAAAGAGCGATGCTGCAGCGAGATCCAGGGTCCATGCCTTCGTTGACGTTGTTGCTGCAGCTGCGGCACGCTAGCGCCACGTGCGTCACTAGAGCCTGACGGAGTGAGGTTTGCTGAACACCATGTCTTCTATCACCAACATCCTACCGACGTTACAACCGCCATCTCATCCAACAACGGATGGCCACAATGACGCGCCATCGAAGCAGCTATTGGTAATGCAATTCTATATCTGCCATGCCGTTACGCATCGCGACCTGGATGCCGGCTCGACCCATCCGCCCTACATGCTCAGCATTACGGCATCTTGTTCGGTTTGCGCATAGGACCAGCTGCTATTCCCAGGAGTCGCCAAAGTGTTAGATATATGCGGATGTTGCGACCATTTTCAGAAACATTCGAAATCCAGTTGCTGTCGTTCTGTCGAACAGTTTGCGTGCATATGCAGATCGTGCGTCTTAAGATCTCGACTCCAGCATGCACAGCTCACTATAGCAGCTATTTGGTCTCATATGCTTTCTTTGCTCAAGCTAACCGCGCATCGCAGTATCTCAATATTTGTAGTCTGTTAGCATTCTCTTCTCAGATATGCGCATACTGCCGCCATACACACACTCAAGCCGTGTCCCTCGACTCCGGCATCCACGGCTCAGCTATTCAGTCTTACCTCTCGATTTGTTCTCTTGCCCACTACCTTGAACACCGAAATGGTGCCCTAGTCTCACAGGTTCTCTGTTCTAGTTCCGGTGCCGTCTCTTCAGGGCGCAACGTCATCATAAGTCACTGCACACCCGTCACTTCATATTTTCTCTACTCTTCGGATTTTGCGACCCATATCTACGGCTCGACATGACTTTGATCTTCTTTCATACAGCTTGCCTGCAAAATGTTTGACTGCGACGCTCTCGTGGTGCCTTCTCTCCAGAGCGCAGCGTCGTCAAAAGTCACTGCATTGTCGTCATCTCATCTCTTCCCCGTTCTTCTCCGCGGGCTTCAAGGCCCATTTATACGGCTCCAAATCACCTTCTGTCTCTTCAAAAGGAGCTTCCATTTAACGTGTCGACACAGTACACTGCATTGCGAGCGATTGGCGTGACGCATCACGGGCGTCCTGTTCAGCCAGTAGAGGCTAGGCTTCCCGTATATGACCTGTAATGACCGCCGACGCCCTCTAGCCTCGTAATTCTATCAGTAATGTTATACAAGGTGGTCCGAGCCATCGCTGTCGGTCGAGTGTCTCGTAGAAAGAGGAGGTATCAGTGAATGACTGGACTTGTTGCGGTCGGACGCTTTCCCTGAAGCGAGAGGGCACCCCACCACATTTTGGACTGAGGCCACTGAACGCACGCGACTTCCTCCTCTTTTCTTCTCATCGAAAGTAGACGGTGCTTCTGAGCGACATCGACGACGGTACATCATGTCGGACCTTTATTTCCCCCGGAGTTGGTCAACAACACCATCAGCGACTCCATGTACACCTACGGGTTCGCAGAGGCGAGTCTGCTTCGCGGAGTCAGCAGTAAGTGCTCATCTGGCGGGGCATGTATGCATATCGCCCAGAGTCTCCTCCAGTCCCCAGGCGACGCAGAGACAAGGATGATATAAGCGGCCAAACTGACAACGCTTCTCCAGGGACCTGGAAGGCCGCCATCGACGCCCGCATTGCAGTCCTACCAATCGAGGCCTTTGTCCCACTGAACGTCATGACCCGCGCCATACTCAAGAGCGTCCGCGTACCCTATCTCGCTAATCGGGCGTGCGAGGACTGGACTGTACTCACTGGCGAGCGCGACACCCTTCCTAAGTACATCAAGTTATGGGTCAATTGGCTCATCAACAATGACGTAGTGAGCGCAGGAGATGAGTATGCGACCGCGCTCATGCTGAGCAAGCAGTTGCATATCGCGTGCAAGTCTGCTTGGGAGATGGCGAGTTACAGGAAGTCAAGCAAGACATTTCAGCGTGTGTTGCCATACTTCACCGACAACGGCGCAGGAATTCAGCTTGCTGTTATAGCGGCGGTTGGTAACCTCGATGCCCTTAAATCTGCTGTCAACTCATACGGCTCCGATCTGCTCTGGGACGTCTCATACACCTTTGGATCTGCGCTCGCTGCAGCCGCTGGTGGTGGTCACGATGACGTCGTCCAATACCTCCTGGATTACTTCGTGACGAACCACCGTATGTATCCCATGGAGCAGTACGAGGCAGCCTTTAGGGGCGCCATCGCTGCAACCCTGGGTCAAGGTAATACAGACATGTCGGTACGGCTCCTCCATGTATATCACCACTACTTCCCCGCGGTCCCAAAGCTCTTGCTTAGCAGTTGGATTGCTATGGCGGCCAAACATCCGGACGATCGCGTCTCTGTAAGGTTGCTGGAACTTCGCACTGAACCCGGTCTTCGCGAGTGTCTCGGAAAGTTCAAACTCGTCTGTAAGACCAAGAGCAAGCCCGTGTTTGATGCTTTCCTCAGGCTACGTTCCATGAACCTCAACCAAGGATACCTCGAGAAGAAGGTCGCTTTCCGGTGTCCTCTTTCCGTTGCCGTGGGTGTGGGCCATCCTGGTCCGGTCAAGTCACTCCTCTACCACGGAGCACATGCGGATGGGGTACCGACTTGTCGGCTTTGCGATCTTCCTCTCTGGCTCGCCGTTCAGGGTAATAGCCTCGAGATCGTTACCGCGCTCTTATCATATGGCGCTGATATCGAATCCATCGTCCAGTTGTGGATCGACAGCGATGACCAGTTCAAGGAGGAGCGCGGCGCCATTGCGATGCATCTCAACATGGTATCCCAACAGCGTAGCGCTCAATGGGATGCTGCCATGGGCGGTCCCCAGCAGTCGTAGGTAGTGGTAGCGCGGCGAGGTGGCTGCCGAGGAGGTTGCCGGCTACACACCAGCCTTGGATCGCAAAGAGCTGCGCGTTGGGGTAACGTCGGCCCCAACGTCCGTGCTTGACCGGTGCACGGATAGGCGCCACGACAACAAACTTCAGCTCGCACCTTCACTCCTGTGGCTGGGAGGCCTTCTTCCACCACGTCACTGCCCAGGTCCCCCGAGAAACGATTGAGAAAAGAGCATGAGTGTCAAGTAGGCGAGATCCCGGGTCTTCATCAGCGAGGGCTGAGGATACTCGAGCTTATGATTGAGACGTTTGTCGAAGACGTCCGTTGACGCATGAGAGGAATGGAGTACAGGGCTAAGTAGGGTCTTTGTTTATGGTAGAATTGTTTTCTTCAAGCTCAAGTCTCAGATCGGATGGCCATTACCAATTCATCAAACTATAAACTTCAGTCCCGAAACCTCCTCGTGCGCGCCCATTGCAATCCATTCCTTCCTGTAACCCTGAGTTGATACCTGATTCTACATTCAGTCTTCCTCGTTATCAGTGACTTTCGCTTTGCCTCATCTTACTGCGACCAATTGTTAGTTCTTAGGACGCGTCAAGTACGAGAAGATCTCTCTAGGGGCCAGAACGGGTGAGCAGAGTCCTCAGGGGGCTTCCATCTCATCTCATCTTATTGTGAACCAGAACATGCTCTGAGTTGTCTTCGACCTCGCACCGCGGGCTCAATCAGAGTCTATACATTTCAAATCACGAATTTCGGTGGACATTGGCAGAGAGGGGTTCCTAGATTCGGCTGCTTTGTTATACCCTTTTCTTCTACTGGGAAATGTAGTTTTTTCACTGGATTTGAGAGACACGATAGTGATGGCAGGATACGTACAGTACGGTTCAATTGAAGATAGACTGAAACTCCTACGAATGAGAGACGCCGGGTTCAAGTGAGTATCCAGAATGAACAGTCACTGTGCCGGGCGTTTGCGATCTGCTAGTCATCTCACCAGTCCGTCCGGGAAAGACATTGCGCAATGGAGGATGACTTATTGCGCAATGGAGGATGGAACATTGCGCAATGAGCGGCGATTGCTAGTCTAACTCCACTTGCAGTGTCTGCTATCCGATGCGCCCAGGCCAACACACAGATATAATATCTTTGTCCGGATCCGACGTACATTACTCCTACCTCTACCTCGAACTCGACATCTCAGCCGCTGAAGACGTTACAAACATGCTTCAGCTACTCGATCTACCGATAGAAATCGTCCAGCGCGTCTTCAACACACTAGCCAGGAAGCATGGTATACCAGCAGCCTGGTTGGCTCGAGGAGCCTGCAGTAAGTACCTGACAATACAACAACCGCACACGTGACATCCCAAACTGACAGACTGCGACATTAGCCGCGTTCCGCGATTACATCACATACGACATCCTCGCCAACCCATCCCTTCACGCCTACCTCAAGACCCCGGCCGGCCGTAAGATCCTCAAGGAGTACCTCGCCGACTTCCTCTTCGTGCGAAGCAAGAAGCTCAACGGCTTTGCACGCAGCCATGTGACGGACTTTATCCGCGCTATCCTGCGTGCGATGGGTCCATGGATCGTCAACGACGTGGAAGAGACTGCACTCAGGAAGGCGCTGTGTGAGCTGTTCGTTCGCAACCACAGCGACGCGTTCAGATGCGTTACCACTGACTTTAACAAACTTGGATACTACATGCCGAATACCATTCGGGTCACTGATGCTGCTCTGATTGCTGCAGCCGCCGCAACCGGAAAGCTCGACGCGTTGAAGCACTTCGTCGGCGCTAATAAGTGTCTGCTGTGGTCGCATTCACTGGCTTTTGGTTACCCACTTGACGCCGCGGTGTATGCGGGCCAAGATGTTGTCACCAAGTCGATCGTGAAGCAGGCAGTTACCAAACAGAACCGAGACGTCGCTGGATACTCCTACAGCGAGCACGTATCCTTCCGCCAAGCCATCTGCACTACCATCGAACTGGAAGACCAGCCTATGACCAACTACCTCCTAGCTAAGTACATCACTGCATTTGGTTCCGCAACCGAAACCTGCATGAAAGTCTGGCTAGACAAGGCCATCCAACTCAGCAACGAAGAAATCCTCAAGCTTCTTCTTGCTTTGCCTTCGCAATCCGGTCCATCAACCATCTACGCCGCTTTCGAAACAGCGTGTCGTCTTTCAAAGCCAGATCTCCTGCATCTACTCTTCGGTCCTCAAGTTGGTCAGTTCACTTTGTTGGTGAACCACATCCAAGGCTCCACATACCCCCTCCTCACCGCCGTAAACGCATACACAACCGGCACCTTCATCAGGTCGCTGTTGGAACTAGGCGCCGATACCAACGGTCCCGCGTACCTAGCCGGTCTCGAGCGGCCCCTCCAAGCAGCGACGCGGTATGGTCGCAGCATCGCTTGTCTGGTCTTACTTGGAGCTGGTGCTAATCCGCATTTGGTTACACCTGGAAGTTTGGCATGGGTTGAGAGTGTGAAGAAGAGGTACCGGGAGGATACGAGGGCGGGTAGGGTGTTCAGGGAAGCGCTTGAGGTTTGCGAGGCGCCTAAGGTAGCGAGGGACGAGGACTTTCTTGTTGAGGTGACTGAGGCGGATGGGGACGTGGAGGTAGATGGTGGTGATGAGGTGGATGTGGGGGATGTCTAGGAGGATATGTTGTGTTGGGGGTGCGGTGAAGTTTTGGTGAGGGAAGGAGGTAGACTGCAGGGCCTCGTGTCTTTGATGTGATTGAGTAGGCAAGAAGATGGAGATAATGCTGGTAGCAGATATCAGGAGTTCGGCATCTGGTCTTTTGGATGGAACGAACATTCATTTGGGTGAGCGGCGAGGTAGCTCGCTCAGTATGAATAGAATGCGGTATCATTGATTAGGCTGCCGTATAGGCGTTGCATGTCCCCATAGCCTTAGCCCTGGGATCTTATACCCATCGATCTTCCGATGCACATCCACAAGTATACCTTCATCTGTCATACCGTACAAGTCCTTACCCAGAATACCACCAGCCAGCTTCTTCCCCTGCTTCTCCGCCCCTCTCACAACGCGTAGATTCACGCACTGCGGATACGCCTGCGCACCATCCAGTTTCTCCGCAACATGCAGCGCGATAATCTCATGCCGCAGCACATAGTATCCTTCCGAGAGTCTTTCCGGTATTCTGACAACCCAAGAATACTCGTTCGCAATGAGCACATCCGCGGCCCACGTCCCACCGAGATCTAGTGTATCCCAGCCCGTACTATTCAACCATCCCAGCTCATCGATCTTGACCCAAGCCATATCTTTACTTTCTCTGCCCGTGCAGCTCCCCTTACAGTCCGCCAGGTACGTCATAACGGGACCGACGTGCGATACGGGCCATTCATTCCATTGCAGCTTTAGCTCATCACCAGCCGTTATGTTGATGTGGAGAGCGCCTGGAATGGCGTTGTAGTGGCAAGCGATGTTGGAGGTGTTGAACTGCGAGGGCGGGATGTAGATGTTGCCGAGATTTGACGCGGACCATGCCGCAAGTGGATGCGGCGGTATGAGATTGTCCGAAGAAGCGGGATCCCAGCCTGCGTAGATTGCTCCGCTCGATGTTGTGATTTGGGTTATTCGGCCGTGGGCTTGGACGGCGGTGGTGAGGAAGGCTGGTATTGCGATGGTGGAGAGATGCATGTCTGTGCGATGTAACGGCCCGCGGTCTGCTGTCAGACTTCAGACAGCCTCAGAACGGCACGCGATGAGCACTTTATGGCCATCTTGTAGTGGTCGACCACCGACCGGGATATTGAGCCTGTGATCCCCTTCGTAATCGTCGTTTACCCATACACACCTGGTAATTACCCCAGATTTCGTGATGTTGTACCCCATATCGACATGCACCCGTGATTGGCCAAGCTCTTCGGTAGCTTTGAGGAACTTACTCTAGACCTAACGCCTCTACCAGAAATACATCGCGAGTACTACACGAGGCATTCCGACATGAACAGGTATCCGCGAAGAGCCGCGTGAATGGCCTCGGTTGCTATACACTTGACTTGGGTCGGGGCTGTTAGCGTCCAGTTGTGAACGCGTCGGTACCTGGCTTCCCTTCGTCTTCTGCCGTGGGTCAATGTGCTAAGAAGGCCCTTACATTTGCGTACAGTCCGAGAAGGTGCCGTCTAGCAGGTACATGATGACGATGGTTACATTGATTGGACGTCCGAGTGTACATGGTAGCGGCAGCCAAAGGCTGTGTCGCTCTTGGCGATGGTTATGAGAATGCGAGAATGGCTCATGCGCTGGAGTCGCAAGGTACGGTGCATCTCATAAGTGTTGCTCGCATGCAGGCGTTGCCTTTTGTGAGTATTGCAAGTGTGTGGGATACGGGATGAAAGATGTCAGATGACGCGCGAAACGGTGACTGCCCAGCTATGGACCCTGACGTCGATCGCACCCAGATGCGCCCTAGCGCCCGCCAAGCGAGATCACCGGGAGAAAGGCCAACGAACCGCCGCTGCTCTACCCCACAAACAAGACGACGGAGCGACCATCAAGACCCCGCATGCTCCAAACAGGGCCGTTGGAGGTTGGAGTACTAACGGCTCGAGCCATGACGTCTAACGCGTATTCTCTGACTGTGCCTCGCCAGTGGGTCGCTAAGAGGGCGTATGGGGCCGAAGGAACAGGACATACCTAAGGCGACCAGAGACCAGAAAAGAACTAATAGTGACAGGCTATCGTTTGGACACACGGGTCGACAACTGTGACTTATCCGTAAATACAGGTCTTTCCTGAAACTTCAATTACTGCGATTGAACTGCGGATCGTTCCAGTCACATACCGCGCGCGTAAAAGCTACGAACCACGCGCAAAGACATTGGACCGTCTTCTAGATCATCAAGTAAGTAAAGAGGCCTAATATATGAAGTTTAAATCCATGTAAGATCTATCCACTAACAGGTTCAGAGTTGCTATGGTCGCAATTACGTTAGTGGGGTCAGCAGCCCTGGTAGCTACCGTCCTGGCTTACCCTCAAAGTTCCACGACGTATTCACCTCCGCCGAATGACGATCTCTCATTGCCATGCGAAGAAGCTGCCTCAAGACTCTATCTAGAGGACGGACCCCAGAAGAACTACCTCTATTCCGATTGTCACACCAGCGCCCATGTCATTGTTACAAGTCCCAGGCCTGATAGCAACACCAGTGTCGTCAAGCCTAGGCTTATCGTGGCATGGCCTGCTGGTAACAGCGGCGCTATGGCTTACTTCGCGCCTGAGAGCGGGCAAGGCAGTCTGAACATCAGTCTGGAGGAGTCCGGGAACGGAGAAACAGTCCAGCCACTGAGTGCTTCGGATCGTGTTGGAGTGTCAGCATCGATCAAATTCAACACTACTGCTAGATTGACGCAACCTATCCTTGGTAGTATACGGGCTATTCGCGACCAGACCGAAGGCTCAGGCGTTAGTCAAGACTTCCAGAACAACTTTGGTTTCGCGATCAACGAAGACGGGAGCGCATGCGCATACCTAGCGAGCACAGACACAGTACTGTGCACAAGGGCGTGCTGTACGCTACCGTGTCCGTGCGCGAAATGAGCTAGGTCGAGTAATAAGCTACCCTAACAACATAAGTAAACTAGAAAAATAAGGCTATAGAACTATAGTAAATAGAGATAATATTATAATAACTTTATATTATACTAAATATATACTTATAAATAATTTATACTACTTAGAATATTTTTTAGGTCTCTAGATTAATTATGTTCTAGTCTTTTATACTAGAGTATTTATAGTAGTACTACTAGCTACTATATAAGTTATACTAATAATAGTATATTTCTAATACTTTTTAGAAAGCTTAAAAACTTATAAAGTTTTACGCTTACTCTTTTAAAGTAGTTATATAGCTTTTTAAGTATTATAAGAGACTTTTTAGTACTTTTTATTAGCCTCTTTTATAGTCTACTTCTTTTTCTATACTTTTTTAAGTCTCTTTTTTTTAGTATACTTCTCTTAAGCTAGCTAAAGCTTATAAAAGTAAGTTTTCTTCTTAAGCTTATTTCTTTTATCTTTTTATAGTTATAGTTACTATACTTACTACTATTATAAAGCCTTATTCTTATAAGCTTACTAAACTTTTTTAAGTAACTAGAAAATAGCTTTACTATAGTACTTCTTAGAGTTATTAAGATAAAGAGTAAAGCTTTTTTTTTATTACTTCTTTTTAACTATAAGAGTATTTCTAAAGCCTTTAATCTTTTTATAAAGAATACTATTTTAAGCTAAAATATAGTATAAACTTTAGTAAAGCTTCTTAATATTTTTACTACTTTAATCTTTTACTATATAATATATAATAGACTTAAGTTTAAGCTAGTTATCTCTACTAAGATAAGAAGTAGAGCTTTTATCTAAACTAGATACTTTCTTATATATTATAAGACGCTATAAGCACGTATTTAGAAGCTTACTAGAAGCGTTAATAATAGCTACGTATAATATCTAGTGTAATATAAGACGTTGCGTAAAGAATAGAGTAGAATATAGAAGTAGTAAAAGATATAGCTAGAGCTGTATATAGCGCTTAGGCCTTAGCTAGCTAATTAATAGATTTTAGGTAATCTAGTAAGTTACCTAAAATCTGCGCGTTTAGGTATTAGAGAAACTATAGTAGTTACTATAATAGTACTTCTCTCTTACTCTTAAGCTTCTATAAGTAGAGATTATATTATATAGTATAGTAGTCTAGTTATTTTATATTACTTTAGGTAGCTCTAAGATATTAGAAAGCTTCTTATACAAACTAGCTACAGCTACGTTATTCTTTAGGTTTATAGTAGGTTTCTAGATTATTTTATTATAGCTAGTCTACTTAATATAGTACTTATATTACTTATAATATTTATTATAGCAGAGGTCTTTAATACTTTCTATAAAGTATTTTTCTTTATTATCTATAATAATAGGTTTAGATAGTAGAATAAGTTATTCTAGTAGATAATTCTATTTTAGTGTAGTAGGCTAGAGTAAGAATATATAAAATACTAGATATATCTTTATAGAATTAGGTAGTTTAAGATAGTACGTGTAGAAAGAGATCTTTTTAGCTACTTTATATAGGCTAAGATTCTTCTAATTAAGCTTTTTAGATATCTATTACGTTTAGATATTCTACGCGTTTAGCTATACTTTATTACTAGTTTTATACACTAGTGTAGGTAGACGCTTTTAGTTTATATATTCTTATTATAGAGCTTAAGCCTAGGTTAATTCTTTATAGATAAATTCTATAATATTACGTATCTTTCTAATTATTATATTAACCTTACTAGCTTATAGAGCTTAATATATAGATTATTTCTTATTAGTAGATAGTTTAAAGCTTATTTATAGGTTCTAGCTATAGTAGGCTATTATTAGAGTTACTTTAGTAGACTTAGAGATAGTATTATTAGCTTTAAACTAAGTAGTAGAGAGCTATTAAATCTAATTATCTTATTAATAGGTTATATACGCGCGTAGAACTTATTCTATTATAGCATTAGTATTCTTTATTTATTTATCTATCTTAGAGTAGTAGCTAGTTAAGAAGCGTAGGTCTATTTTTAGTTAAGTATATAGCTTATTATAGAAAGTAGATATAAACTATCTACTATAATCTAAGACTATTATATTAGAG